GTCTCGAACGCGCAACGATCCTCCTGCCTCAGCTTCCCAAGTGCTGGGATTACAGGCATGCGCCACCACGCCCGGCTTAAATATAGATTTTAGCACATCTCTTTCAGTAGATGAAGCAGACAAAAATTAGTATGGTTACATCTAAGTGTGGTGGTACAGGTCTGTAATCCCAGAATTTGGAAAGCTGAGATAGGAGGATCACTGCAAGTCTGAGGCCAGCCTGGGCTACATAGTGAGCTTGAGGCCAGCCTAAACTACAGAGCAAGATCCTGTCTCAAAAAACAACACAAAACTCAACCAAACCAAACCAAACCAAAAAATATTCATACAATGGAAAGTAACTCAGCATACAGAGAACCAACTAATGACTCAGTTGCCCACCTGATAACTCTCTTGAGTATACCGTATGCAGTAAATCAGATGCATCAGAGTATACTGTGTGACTCCATTTATATGATGTACAAACACAGGCAAAAAAGGCAATGAAGGGAAGAATAATGATGTCTGTGGGGAAAGATGGTGACTGGAAAAGGTACAGCAAGGAGGAAGGCTTTGGGGTGATGGAAACACACCATGACTTGATCTGTGGGATGGTTGCATATGATTATGGGTATAATCATTCACTAAGCCTTACAACTGACAGTGCATTTTAACTGAATACTAGTTAGACCCAGAACATTTTTTTTTTTTTTTGGTATGTGTGGTACTGGAAGTTGAACCCAGGGCCTCTGCACTGAGCTACATCTGGAGCCTGTTTTTAATTTTTTCAGATTTTGAGACTAGGTCTTGCTGAGTCATTAAATTATCTTGGCTGTGCCCTACCTCCTTCCCTTTCTCCATCCCCTCCTCCCTCCCTTCCTTTGCTGTACTGGCAAAAATCATTTTTTAAAAACTGTAGGATATACTGGAAGAAAGATAGCCTCTTTAATAAATGGTGCTGGGGGCTGGGGATTTAGCTCAGCGGCAAAACGCCTGCCTGGCAATGCAAGGTCGTGAGTTCGGTTCCCGATACCAGAGAAAAAACAAAAAAAGGCCAAAAAAAAAAAAAAATGGTGCTGGAAAAACTGGCTTTGCACATGCTGAAGAATAAAACTAGACCCATGTCTACCTACATGCACTAAACTAAGGTCAAATGGATCAAAAATTTAAATATGAAAACAAATATTACATCTACTAGAAGAGAAAGTAGGTAGAAATCTTGAAGACATAGGGGTAGGCAGAGAGTTCATGAACAAAAACCAAACTGTATGGGATATACCTCAAAGAATCAACAACTGAGATCTCATCTTATTAAAAAGTTGTTGCACAACAAAAGAAATCACTAATAGAGTGAAAAGAAAACCCACAAATTGGGAAAAAATTTTAACCAACTGTCTCTCACACAAAAGACTTCTACCTAGAACATATAAAGAATTAAAAAAAAAAATTTAAAAAAATCCGACCCCCAATATTCGAAGACCCAATCCAAAAATGGGCATCTGAGATGAATACACATTTCTCAGATGAAGAAATACAAGTGGCAAATAAATATATGAAAGAATGCTCAACATCATTGGTCATCTAAGAAATGCAAATTAAAACAACACTAAGATTCCATCTTGGGGCTGGGGATTTAGCTCAG